AGGTTGAAAAGGACGCATGCTGCGCCCTCGCCTGTGGGATGGACTCAATCCGTCATTGAAGACTCTGGTCGGCTACAAGTATGATTCCATCTATAGTTTTGATGATTTGCGCCTGTGCCTCAGGGAAATGGAGTTTGGACAGACACAGAGGAAGAGGTCGGCATATCAACAGAAGTAGTGGATACACAGGCAACTGGACTCAAGTTTCTACATATGAAGTGGTAGCAGCCAGAATCAGCTTGATCAGTTTGGTCCTCCACCTTCAACCTATCAACAGAATTCTCCAATTCCACCAGCATCAACAGCTCCTACATGCTTCAACCTGCCGTGGCTACCCAGGACATCATTCTTATGGATGCTGAGTCCGTAAGAATCATATGTGACGTCCTTTAAACTGGTCCAGGACTATTTGGAGATGCCACCCTTAGTTACTTCCAACTAAGCCATCTGGAATTTCTCTTCTCGGGAACCTGAGGGTGGCACCTCAAAATAGGCAAAGACACACCTATACAGACTACAGGATCTACCGTATCAGTGATGTCACTATCCTTCTAAGAAACATATTTAAGCCACATTCCACTCAGCCCACTTGATGATATGGTTAACATAGAATGTGCAGGATGAGTGCAATTACCATACATGGGATATGTACAGGTTGGAATCAAGACTACAGGCAGCGGCAATGACAGAAAAAGAGCCTTATCATGTTAAGTGATTGTTGACACGGACACGAGGTATAATGGGAGAGTGCAGGGAGTTTTGGGAATCTACATACTTTCAAGACTCCTTGACAATTGCCGAGATAGAGTTGGTGTTCAGTTCAACTTCAGTTGGACGTTTATGACGACACACCATTCAAACAGCGACGTCGTAGGATCCCTCAAGCCATGTATGAAGAAGTTGGGATGCACCTTCAGGAACTTATATCAGCTCGAGTCAATGAAAGGTCTTATAGCCCATGTGTTTTAAATGTTGTGTGTACAATGACAAAATGAGGAAGTGTATTGACTATCCTGTGCTCGATCTTAAGATCATTAACGATTCGTACAACTCCTTCTTGGCAAAAATACCGTTTGGCATACTGATGCCAAAGTCAGCATCCAGGAAGTCCAAATCCAAACAGCATTGCAACAGCATCGACTTGAAGTGGGGCGAAGAACAGCAAAGGGCTTTTCAGGAACAGAAGACTTGCTTGTCAACACCACCAGTGCTTGGTTATGTTGATTTTTTGCAAACCCTTTGAGACCCACATTGATGCCAGTACTCGGGGATTAGGAGCAGTGCTATACCAAGCAGGGGTTTGAACAAATCTGCGGGAAACAATTCTGCTCTAAAACTGAAGCTTCTGTGTTTGAAGTGGGCAATCTCAGAGAAGTTCAGTGACTACTGGTATGAGTTTGCAGTTGTCACAGATAACAATCCCCTCACTTATGTTTTAACCACTGATGCAACTGGTCATCAAAGGTTGGCAGCACTCTCTGCCTATTATTTTAGCATTAGGTACAGACCAGGGAAGCTCAACATTGATGCTGAAGTTCTGTCAAGGCTGCCAGACAAGTTACTAATAACGGAATTATCCACTGTGAATGCCCTCTGCAACGTTATCCAAGTTCCTAACCTTGTGGAAAGTATATGCTTGTCAACACAAGTCATAGATGAGGATGATATCGACATACATGAGGAGAAGTGTAATGTCAACCCCGAGGACTGGAGAAGATCACAGGGAGATCCATTCCTGGCTACCATTATTGACCACTTGGAATGCGGCACCTGACCAGGCAGAAATGAATACACTGGAGATAGTAATATGACATCACTCATCAAGAACTTTCGACAGACGCAGCTGCACAGAGGAGTACTTCATATAACACATCCAAGACAGCTGCAACTTGTCTTACCTAGTATATGTGGAGGTGCAGTGCTGCGCAATTTGCATGACAATGTTCATCATCCAGGCAGAGACAGTACAGTTTCTCTCTTGAGGAAAAGGTCCTAAGGACCAAATATGTTGAAGTGCATGTGCAGTCCTGTGCTCCGAGCACCTCTAGAGAATATTACAACATCACAACCACTTGAACTTGTTTGCATGGACGTCCTTTGTTAAAAAATTCTAAGGGGGGTCAGCAACATGTTCTAGTGGTAACCGATCATTTCTCCAGGTATGCTCAAGCTGGTCCTTGCAGGAACACCACTGCAATGACAACTGTTGCGTTCTTCTTCAATGACTTTTTGTGCATAATGGTCTACAGAAGTGGATTCACTCTGATAAAACAGCAAACTTTGTGGGTACACTAATGACTGAGGTCTGTTACATTTCTAAGATTGAAATAGTTTCAACCACGCCTTACCATCTAATGGGCAATGGGATGTGTGAGCACTTTAACCGAACGTTGTGCATCATGGTAGGAACCTTGGTTCCAAAAAGAAAGCAAGATTTGAGGACACATGTTGGTCCACCTGAGCATGCCTGTAATTATACTCAACATGAGTCTACGGGCCAGTCTCCTTTCTTTTAATGTTACGTCAGCACCCAAGGCTTTCTGTTGACATAGCGTTCGGACTTGACATTAGGCCAAGCAAACCTAAATCTTTTTTAATGCATAAAAATCTTTACAGGATAGGTTGAAGTTAAATAAGGCTTCCCACATGATGCTATGGTTTTGGTTCTTAAGGATGTGGGGCAACAGTAAACATCCACAAGATCCACAACTAGTGACAAAGAAACGACAAGAAGCCATATAACCGGTCGCAGTCACTTGGCAGCTGTTTGATACCCAGATTGTAACCACATGATCAAAACCCAATGTTGATGTGTATCATTAGCAAAATGAATCATTCTTGAAAAGTACTCTTTACATTTTTTGTCATAACTGTAAATAATATTCTTTAACTGTAGAATGGCTTGTTTTCATGTTCTAAGAATTTACCCACATCCTCATTAATTAATCATTGTGATCGCGATCTTAGGCTTCGGCTACAATCGCCATCCACTTTCACAAAGCGATTGTAGGCTAAGACCATCGTGAGCTACAATGGAAACTGACAATTGGTCTGGACCAATCTTAAGTAGCTAAGATGGTTTTAGTCCCTGAATAAACTTGACAAAATGGCGTCCAAGACTTGGTCTGTTACACATAAATAATCTGCTTTACGTTCAAACATTGGCTCCTTATTTTGATTTTGAATTTTATGATTCGAATCGACACTTTAACAACATGGAGAACGCATCACAGATTCAACGTCAGAAATATTGTTAATTGCAATAGTTAACTATATAACTATCGAATCGATAGCTGAAAGGAATATTCCCATCCGACTAAATGCTGAAAGAAGTGTGAAACAACATACCTTTTTCGCTAAACAAGGGAAGACTTGTACTTTTAGCTATCGACTCGATGGTTATGTGGTTCACTATCGCAATTCACGATATTTCTGACGTTAAATCTGTGGTGCGGTCTTCGTGTTGTTGAAGTGTCAATTCGAATCATAAAATTTAACAAAATAAAGAGGCATTGTTTGAACGTAAAGCAGATTATTTATAAAAATGAGAAAACTTTCACCACACAAGATTAAATAGAAGAGTTACTTAATCCAAGCCTTCTTTTGACTTCTTATTGACTAGGTTTTTTTTCTGTAGTGTGTTCGCTTTCTCTCTTTAGTGAATCCGTTTGAATCCTTCTAAGTAACCTTCGACCATTTCTGAGGTAAACTATGACTTGGTAAAACCAGTAAATTGTCACTTCAGTGGAGAGGAAATTTCAAACAATCACACCAATTGACGATGCTTACATCTCGTCTGACAACTGTGCACCGTAATAATGCAATCCACTCAACCTTTGTGATAGTCATACATTTTTGGTGACATAGGCCAGGAGTTGCCTGTTTTACCAATCCCAGACCCACCAACCATAGTGTCACTCAAAAATAGCCGCTTTGTCAGCCAGCCAAAGTTTGAGCTTAAATTGTTTGTTTGTTGTTTAACGCGGGACGAAACAATATTCCAGCTAGATGGCGGGTAAAGGTACTATCAAGAGAGAACAGTTGACTGCAGAAATCACCATTTTCCTTAATTGTTTTGGAGTTTATAAACATAAACGCCAAAAACAATTGCTTGGTTAGTCATTCCAATGTCAAGGAATCACTTAACACTTATTTATCACGGTGTATGCGTGTGCATATGGTGTATACAATTAGTAGCAAAACTTACTTGAAGGAATGTACTACGTGTTTAAATTCTAGTGCTACATTTTATGTATGTGTAGCCAAATCAGGCAATGCAATAAAATATACAGATAGAGTGATGTAACAGGTAAGTGTATACTAATTATGTTAAATAATTACTCAAAGTAATCTCCATTTAGATGTTAGTATGTTTCGACACATAATGTGTTTTCACATCTAAAACTATTAGCAATAGTAACATACCAATATTGTTTGAAGATTGTGTCATAGTGTCTTTTCAAAGACCAATTAACTTCAACGTTTATAAATCCAGTCAAGAAATTAATATTCCAGTGATGCTCAAGTATTTTCTACTGAAGAGACTGCTACGATTGGGAACGCAATTGCGTTGTACTGGAAAATCTCACTTATATTTTAATGGAATTATAATAACCTTTAAGTTCAGTGCATTTACGTGTGCAGCATATGAATACTTGATGATACGATCTTTCTTTTTACATCATCGCCTGCGTGAAGTTATAACATTATTAGAACGCGTAAGTTATCTGAATCATTATCCTGCAGTGATAGTCATTTAGTCAGTGGCTATATCCAAAACCATGCAAGAGTTGAATATATCCAACATGAATGAGGTACTTGAGCAGATACTAATAAATACAGTTTCAGCTATGTATAAGTACACAACCATGTTTCTATATAAGCCATTCATTGAATGTATAATAAACGTTTCAATACAAGAGACATGCATGCTTAAACATGCATGCCTGGTTGTTGTATATAACGACAGACCATGCCAGATATTCTTTATTGTCAGTACACAGAGGCTTAGTTACAACACAACAGTGGCAGTTGTGTTGTAGACTCGCTTTGGAGTGGTTGTAATTTGACTTTATCGACACACAGGTATGTTGAAATCAAGTCAGTTAGCATCAGCTTCATTTGTATGGCGTCATAGTTTTCTTTCTTATTTGTGACAATTTTAAATTTGACACCAGTTGTGCTTGCTGTGATTCAGAATATTTGTTATTTTACAATAAGATGTTACGTCAATCTTTGATGCAAACATGTGACGTAAGGTATTTCCTTACAGAGGGAGGCAAACAGAGAAAAGGATGGCGGAGTTTACAAGTTCCAGATCTGAGCAACCCAAATCGAAAATCTCATTTGAGGGTACGTTTGCTGATGTTGTTTACATTTGATTTGTAATTGCCCCAGCGTAAATTGATGTAAACTTTTACGAGAAGATAAGTGAATGTATTAGTCGGGCTCAACTCTGCCTTCAACAGATTTTCATTCATATCAGCTTATAATGTGAGAGGTAAAACAGAACAAATTATGCAGGTCCTAGGGGTTTACCACCATGATCCTGATAAACAGGGAGTCACAAAGTATCTGCGAAACCTGGTACATCTGATGGAGGCATCTTAACACAGCAAAATCTGCCGCTATATGACAATAAAGAAGGGGCCAGTTTCTCATATATTACATTTTCGTAAACATAAGATAGTTATCGACATGTACAGATAAATGTACATGTATACTCACAGTATTTCCTGTTTAATGATTGTATGACTGCTTCGTTCGAGAGATCACTAATGCTGTGGACTGTAAATGACAACAGGTGTAAGGTTGCCATTCATATCAGTTGAGATCATTAGTCAGCCAGCATAATAAATGCAGGTGTTATGTTTGATTCATTTATAAAACAATTTCACTCTTGTCCAACAGTTACCATGGATAATGATGAATTCGAAGTCAAATACAAAGACAACCCCACGTGGGCTCACATCTCAAGATGGAACTGTGAGGTTGTTCCTGCGACATTTGACCTCCTAATTCACAGAGAACTGTACACAATTGGGGGGTTACCGAAAACATTTGCTGACTGCCTAAAAGTTACTCTTACAAGTGTACGGAACAGGAAGCAGTGTTTAATATTTGCATTCGGACATGACACTCTTGTCGATGCTGTTGATATGGTCAATAAGTTCGTGGAAGTTAAGCAAACAATTTTGAAGTTCATTCGTCAGATTAATGCAAAAGTGAAAGACATTAGTTTGAAGTGCTGGGTAGGAGAGCAGAATGGATCATCAGAGGAGGAAGTCAAGAATGCAGGTACTTTATCTGGTAAATGCAACTCAAGAAGCATTGCCGATGTCACTAACACTTGGTACATGTCATCTTTCGCGATTTGGTAGTTGTGGGTGACCAACCTATTTAGTCAAGATCACAGTGAAGGTCGTTTAAAAAACTGAAATGCCTTTTTTTCTACAAACATGCTTATCGTGGCTGTATCATTCGGATAGTTATGCTATTCCATGCTTTGACTTGTCCGGTATGTTCTCTTGTTCGTTAATGTGAACATTTGACTTGCCGTTAAGGTGGGCATCGACTACCAAAGATTTATTGTGGCTATGTAAAGGGGTTATGTCATTTGTTTTATTGGTAAGGTTTTGTGTGACTTTCAAGGTTGCTGGAATGGTCATTCGTAAGGTCGTTACATCTCGGTGTCTGTTACGTGTGGAGTCTTAGGACACACATTTCAGTTGACAGTCCACCTAAGAAATGACAAGCAATCAAGGGACATAAACACACTGAGTCAAATTAAAAACTTCAGGATTTTAATTAACGGTGGTAACCATAATTTGTTGCAAGCACCTACGGTATTCGGCAATAACATCAACAGTTTAAATCATAAGTCCCAAGCTCGAAAATCTGATGGCCCACAAGTTCAGTAGCGTGTATGGCCACCATGTGCGTTGACAACTGCCACACAACGCCTCCGCATGGACCTTGTGATGCTTGGGAACACATGATTGGGAAGACGACGCCATTGTTGCTGCAAAATGGTGCCAAGATCTTGCAAATTCTGTGGTTGGTTCTGAAGAGTGCGCAGACTTCTGCCAAGAGCATCCCAGACGTGTTCGATGGGATTGAGGTCGGGAGGACTTGACGGCCAGTCCACGACGTTGACTCCCGCATTCTGAAGGAAATTCCTTGTCAAAATTGTTGTGTGGGGTCTGGCATTGTCGTGGTGGAAGATCAAACCGGGTCCATGCGCTGCAATAAAAGGCAGAAGTTCTGGTGCCAGTACCTGGTCGCGGTAAGCAGCAGCTTTGAGGTTGCCACGGATGACAAGAAGCCTGGAACGTGCATTGACACAGAAACCACCCCACACCATGACACTTCTGCCTCGAAATCTGTCAACTTCCTGTACACAACCCTTGGCGTAACGTTCATGACGGCGCCTCCACACCCTCGTCCTACTATCAGCAAATCGAAGATTAAATCGGGCATCATCACTGAAGACGACTTGATTCCAATTTCTCTGAGTCGATCGTAAGTGTCGCTGTGACGTTGACGTCAGTGTAATTGAGTCAGTATGGCCGTCGTGCTTGAAGGTGAGCAGTTTTCAGACGGTTTCGAACAGTTTGCGCATTTAGTCTACCCCTAAACAGTTCATTTCTGGTTGATGTAGCCGTCAAATATCGGTTACGGAGGTAACGTAAGACAATCTGACGATCCTCTGCATGTGACGTCACACGTGGTCGACCTGGCCGAGGGCATTCAGCGGTGGTACCCGTTGCTGTAGACGGGTCTGTAAATCATAAACAGTCCGTCGACTACAACCCATCGTCCTTGCGACTTCAGCTACGGACGTTCCCGTCTGCAACATGTCGATGGCACGTTCACGTTGCACATTTGAAAGGCGTGGCATGACAAATGGCCGTAAAGACTTTTGTTTTCTTGTGTTTTTCTTCTTTATTTTAATGACTGCTAACAAGTATGGCTGAAAACACGTGCGGTATTATGACCATGTGACCAGTTGCACGTGAAAAAACACTTTTGCAACTATAGTGCTGTGCACATGATTTTGATCGATTCACCTGCACAAAAACGGGTGTTATCTGAAGACAATACGCTGCCATTACTGTTTAAATACACAATAAAGGCCCACAATGATAACTGGTCAAAATGTTAAAATTTTAGGATTGTGAAGATTTTAATTTGGTTCAGTATATATTTGATTCACTGACATTCTGCTTATATTAAAGTGATTGAAGCGGTCGGTCAATACCATCATATAGCCTATACATGTACTTCACGCACGTACAATGCGCCCTATTTTAATAAACAAGGGTAAATGATGAACTCTGACAAAGGAAGAAAAACAAAATAACTTAGTGCACATAACCCTATTGATAATGAGAACACTATTTAGCGTGTATGAACTAAATAATATGGATAAGAACATTTCCATGTTAACCCAAATGTTCATATTTTTCTTATTATCTACATTTGGCACACATCTGAGATTCAGACTAGATTACAACTTCAACCTATCCACTGGCTTTATAGCTTTTTAATGTTTGAGACTTCTGTCTTTGCTAGATTTACTGGCTGACTTGGCAAGTTATTATCATTTCTTTCTTTATACAGACTGTTAACATTGTTCTTACACTGCGACTACATTTTTACTGAAACTGGCACATGAAACATATAGTTGTGAAACTGAAGATTTGGCGTCTTTTGAAATTTAGTGTTTCTGAGTTGTTGTCTATTTCTTTGGTCCTTGGTGCCAGCTTCTTCGGTCATCTCGAAAGTTCTGATGTCAATTTGTTTTGTAACAACTGCTGGCTCCGATCTCTTGTTACCCATGTTGACTGGTTGCATTCTCATTTGTTCTCCTATTGTCAGTAGCTTCGGTCGTCCGCCTACATCCTTTCTGAAAGATACCATGGCTGCTTTCCGACTGTCAATAACATACTTTTGGCTGCTGGATACAGATAACCTTCCTTTAGCAGTTGATAACATGGTTTTAGTTTGCCTCTGTACATGACCAGTTCCAAAGCCTTCAGTTGGAGTTTTTTGCTGGTTAAGCACACCAATGTAGGGGGCGTCTTTACTTTCCTTGCGTTTCTTTATCTAGTTTTTAGCCGTCTTTACAGCTGCTTCTGAACCTTTCGATTTGCTAGTGCCAGGGCAGGACTTGTCGTGTGTGAATCCCCACTGTTGAGCAAAACGTCTGAATTGTGGGCGACCATCTGGTATGAAGGTGTCTTGACATCTGTAAGTGGTTCTTGAGTTTGTTTGTAACCTCAGATGCTGTGTTCTCACCAAGGTAGTCAACTTCGAGCAATTGACAGTAATCATGTAATTGCGACCTTGAAGTGTCGAACAAACGTCACAAGAGTCGATGAGCGGGCTGATGTCTGATGACATATGAGGCCAGTATGTAAGTGTGTCCATGCTCTCCTAAGACAGGAGTTTACACTTACATGTCCTGCATGAACTTTCATCTTCATTTCCAGATGCATAGATGTAAGAATAACCACTCTTTCCCCACGCAAGATGATACTATCTTGTACAGTGAGCTCATCACGAAATATATAATAATAGTACAACTGAAACACTGTAACACTGCTTAGTCACCATGCCAACTCTTCATGTGTCCATAAGCTGAATGAGTGTTTTGTCCTGTTGTTTCCTGTTGTGTTGCACACTGGATACTGTCCAGCTTGTTGGATTTGATTGCACAGAATGTCACATTGTTCACTTCAGTGTATTCTGTTGTTGAACTCGGGTCAGTCTTGAAGTGTACTTCATCATTAAATTTATCTTTCTCCCAATCCCACAATGGGTTGTACATTTCATCAAATCTAGACTGGCTTGATGAAACAGCTGCAACAACTTCCATGTTGTCTCTCTTGACATGAATCAGTTCCATTGCCACTGCAGTTTCTATACCAAGTAATGGCATGAAGTATTTTATGAAGTTGATTGAGTGAACTGTTTCCTTCTTTGGTTTGACTACAGCTGCTTGATAAAGGAGTGAGTGCGCAACGTTTCCGAGTCAAATCTGTCAGCTTCTTCTGAAGGATAATATTGGAGGTTACTCCCAAGACAACAAGAAATACTGCTGCCATGTTCTCCACTATCATTCTTCATTTGTTAGGTTTGTTGGTACCATGCTCATCACTAATGGTCATTTCCACTATGCAGTTCCAGTCGTCATGTTCTGTGTCCGGCTCCTATGCAACAGCATTCACTGTCGCTGACCTTTGACATTTCCCTGAATAGTAATTATGTCCACCACATTTGCTACACATTTTCCCCTATGCTTGGCAAACACTTTTCTTCATTTGATATGTGACTCTACAAAACTTGTAATAAGCAACCTTTGGTTGATCAGTTGACTGACTGTGTTTTGTTTTGTTTATCAAATTTCGGCTTGTGTGCTCTACTGGCAACATTTACTACATCTGCTTCGGGTTTGTATGCATCAAAAACTGTGTTTTTGTGTTCTCTGCATCTTTGAAAGTGTCAATACGTTTCTCAGTGGTAAGGTTTCTCTCATTCTGTAATAACTGTTTTGTTGACTGGTCACAAATATCTCGAACAATTCTGTCTCTGAGTTTTGATGGAAGACATATGCGACAATAGGTGCATGTCTTAATTTGTGATCTCAGAAATCAAGGTGCATAACTCTATTTTATTTTATTCACTGACATTCTCCATTGAAGTGATTGAAGCGGTCGGTCAGTACCATCATAAAGCCTATACATGTACTGCACGTAACAGTGTGTGTAACTGTAGCTATAACGGCTAGAACCCACAATAAAGCACGTGGTTGAGGTCAATGTACAGTTTTTTTCAAACTCGTCTTGTACTAGACATGCGTTCTCTCAAACCGTAAATGATGTCATCCAAGCGTAAGGCATCATCACTTTTTTTTCAAGGCAGGTACAACAACCTACAACATAAGTGATGTTGTTAAACCGGAAGTGCTTATGGTTTAGCTATTGAGGCAGCCAGAGTGATTGGACTTTCTGTTCCAAAGCTTTTGCACTGGGCATTTATTGCCTAAATGTAGAATGGATGTTGTGAAACCGGACCTGCTTGTAACTTTGTTATTTTTGCAGGGAAAGGCTTGAGACTTCCTGTTTCAATGTTGTAATGTATTCGGTGGGGGTAATGCAATTTAACTAGAACTGAACTACTACTATCTCTTAAGTGGAGGCATAGGACTAAGTGGTGCTGCATTACACAACCTTTTGGATCAAATATATATACATAGAGGTAATTATTTGAGCATGTGCGTCATACTTAATTTGAAGTGTGAGAAATACTGTATTTCCCGATCGAGAGCGATTGAAATACATGAAATCAGTATGCACATATGCCAGTGTGATCAATTCCTTATCACCCAGTATTTTTTATCCCTTTGATGAGCTCCTAATTTCGAAAAATGCACGGTTTACAACCGTCGTCTAATATTTCATTATTTCTAAATATCCATGATATCAGAGTATAGTCGTAGTGACACACAACTTTAATTAGTGTTGACAGGTATGACAGAACATGTCAACTCTCGGTGAACAGAACCTATTTGCGTTGATTATTTTCAGTTTCATTTCCCTTTATCTACAGCACTCAACAAGAATATTACTCAAGCAAGATATGATTCCCTTTCACCGCTTCTGATATGAAATGTTTTGAAGATTTACAGACAAAATAGAATCATCATAGAAATAAAATAGGAAGAGTAAATATATGAGTGAAACTCCTCAGTTTGGGGTAGTAAGTTTCCATTAAAATATATCTGTTTTGATACATTAAATGCTGTAAAGGTCACTTTTAGATAGATGTTTTATTTAATTTTTCTTTGAAGGTGAAACAAGAAACAAGAGCGAGTCGGTATTGTTTTTGGCACCTGGTAAAAGTGATGGATATAAATCAGAAACAGACTGGTTTTGCAAACTTGGCAAGGATGAATTTGAAATGGACCTGACATCATCAAACGCAACGTTTACCAGATTAAAGCATATGCTTGAAGATACATATCGTTGTATATTGAAACGCGTGCGGCGAGGAAGCTTCATATTTGAATGTAAGCATGAGTCCCGGGAGAATGCTGTCAAGATGATGAAGGATCATGCGAAGGTCAAGGACACGATCTTTGTATGTCTTCACGACATGGATCCTCGTGTCAATGCCATCAGGGTAGATGTCGAATACAGAGAAGATCACGTGGAAATTGGTAAGTCATTAAATGAACTTCATCAATACCAGTTTTCAGGTCTTACAAGAGAAAAATGGGGTTAAACGTCGTGTAAGATCATTTACCATACAGCAAGTTGCATGCACGTGTGTTTGTGGATGCAGTTGTGCATGAGTATGTATGAGTATGTGTATGGGTCGGTGTATATGCGTGTGAAGTACGAGATGGTGAAACTGGAGGCGTGTAACCGTGTAATGTTGTCTATGGAGAGGGAAGCGTCTAACTAGTCAATGCGGGTCTGTAACTTGCTTTGTAGAATTTTGAGGGCTGCTTGCTTGAGTTATGTTGGTGTAGAGGTCTACTACATCATAGCTGACCATGCGACCTGTGAGCTTAGCTTCTTTATGTTTGTTGACAAAGGTACTGGAATCTCTGATGAAGGATTTTCCTCCTTTTCCCGACAGTGCTGGTAATTTGGCAAGGTGCCGGTCTGTGTTGTAGAACACTGAATCTCTGGAACACACAAGTATTACGGATTTTGACAGTCGCTCTGGCGTAAGGTGGCTGCGAGTTTATGGGGTCTAGTTTGTTAAATACATTGTTATTAGGGTTCCAAGCCGAAAGGCTGTAGAGCCCTATTGTAATCGTTCGATTGCGTTCAAATTTTGTATATGTGAAGACCGGTGAGTACTAGATGTTTCCAAAATGCCAAAGCCGTAGGCCCAAAGGCCAAGGGCAGATAACTAAAAAAACAGACTTTTTTGAAGATGTATTTCGCCCTATTGCTCCGCAACCACTTATCCGATTTCTTTGAAACCTTGCATGTGTCTGATGCTTTAGGTGATAGACATTATTTGTTCTTTGACTTTGGTCATTGGTTACTTGGTTTGGCAGCCATATTGGATTCAAGGTTTTCACAGGTGTTTTGGGGTACCTGTCCTCAAATCCCTATTCCTCTGAGACCCCTGCATGAAATGCATTCAAACTTTCTGAGAATTGTCTCTCTGTCACTCTGGTTAACTCTGGGACATGCCAATTTCGTAGCAGTGGTGTCATGCAAACGGTGACTATCTTTTGACGGAGTTGGTACAAACAAACCCTTTGAGGATTCGAACATGAGGATTCGAGGTCGGAAATGGGTTAAGAACTCACCGGGACTAATGTGGTGATGTCTCGCAAGCGGTTCCTTACGTTTGACGGAGTTAATACAAGCAAACCCTTTGAGGATTCGAACATGAGGATTCGAGGTCGGAAATGGGTTAAGAACTCACCGGGACCCATGTGGTCATGTCTCGCAAGCGGTTCCTTACGTTTGACGGCATTAGTACAAGCAAACCATGTACGGATTCGAACATGGACGGCGTCTAAAATGGGTGTAGAACACCCCGGGATGTTTTGAGGATTCGAACATATTTCAGATCGGAAATGGGTTTAGAACAGACTTGGACAATATCGTAGCGGGGATACCCTAGCGAGTGGTACCTACATTTGATGGATTTGGTACAAGGAAACCTTTTAAGGATTCGAATGCACGGACCTTTGTGCACAGTGTTTCTTGGAGCCCGCCATTGCAGCTTGCAGCTTTAATTTATTCTTGGATGGTTTACTTGTACATGTGCTGTCTTTCCAATTTAGCTGTTGTGACTTTTTTGAGGATTTTGAAGGTATTGGGGTCTTCTACAGATTTGCTAACCAGCTGTATTAATTCGGGTGTATCCAAGATGACAGCAGCTTTACCTTTGTCAGTCTCTGTGATGGTGATGGTTTTATGGTGCTATATTTCTGTGATGGCAGAACTTCACAATAACAGTGATATAAATGGCGCTGAATTCAGCAACCTGAACCCAATAAACTAACCATATCAAATATACAATATAAAGTTTTTAAGACATAATGAAGTCCAGCATTTCTATTTAAAAGACTATAAGTTATCTACGCATCAGTGACAATTGGAGTGGGTCTGACAGAATGTGGTTTTACGCCACTTGTACCCAAAGACATTGTACTCATTGACCACAATCCACCTTCGCCCCTTGACGTTGACAACTGGTGTCGTAACATATTTACAGTGGACAATGTCACCCGTAATTTGCCTTTTACGCCCAGTGGATTCTGTTTCGGCAAAGATCTCTGGTGTTGATGTTTACTGTAAGGGGTGTAGTGTAAACATTATTGAAAAAGCTATGTATGACCATTAGTCCTTCATTGAGTTCGACATGACGTGAAATTAAGTATAAGTGTAGTTGTTAGTCGGCCTCAATATTTAAATTTTGACCTTTCGTATTTCAACCTTAATGAAAGCTGAAAATTATGGCTATTACAGAAGTGCAGAAAATGAATTATAGCTAAAATGGATGGAATTATCATTAAACCTCCCGCACGTTATCAGAAATGAGCGGGCCACTGTAACTTGATAATGCCCTCATATTGCTTGACGACGGGCCATTATCAAGCCCGTTAACGTTGTAAGGTGACGCCATAGGGTAGAGAAAATGACGTCACGTATTATCGTGACGTCATCTAGTTTGTTCTATGACGTTTCCATATTTGTAAAATGTGGTCAGTGACATTCGTGTTGATTGCAGTAAATGTTTCAAAACGGATGTTGTTGTTTCTTTTTATTTGATAACAAATTCCATCCATTTTAGCTATAATAACGGTAACGCTCTTTTTCCGGGCATTATCATTTGCAGAAGCCCTCGGTCTTTTCAACTGCCCTCCTTCGTCGGGCAGTTAATGGAAAACCTCGGACTTCTACAAATGATAATGCCATGAAAAATAGCGTTACCCTTATAACAAGAAAAAACAAGCCGGATCATTACTACATTCATTGGATAAAACGAAATATTCTGTCAAGGTTGTAACATGCATCCTATAATACTATAACGATATTTATACTATGTCTAATTTTTTGGATTTACTTACATAATTGTCTAAATATTTGAAAAAAAATCGTATCGTATGCGTTTGCAAATGATTCCGTTTGTCAAAGTTTCGGACATTTTAAATGACTATGTTTTGATGAAATGACACAATTTGTTCAGTTCAACAAACACTAATAAATACGTAAACTACCATCGAGATAATTCCAGAGAAGATTCAAATTCCTCGCAAATTAAAAAGAAATGATTGAACTTATCTCTTCCATCATCTTCAAAGTCGCTGACACGAGCTTCATAATATCCTATCCCGACTCTGGTGGCCATTAACTCCTCATATTTGCTTGCGATTTGTAAGCAATATTCCTGTGTGTTTGTGACTGAAAAGTTGATATCGTTGCACCCCCTAATACATTGCCCTTGGATAGAAGTACGTGTAATAATATACTCTTCAAAAAAAGAAACGCAAAGCCAGATTTTGTGTGAGGTAGGAAAATAACTTTAAACGAGGAACCGTACAAGGCATTGAGCCAAAATGTTGTCGAGAGAACACTTGGTGATTGTAGTCATCTCAGTTATCGGTACATAGGAAAGGTCCAAGGCGAGGGTCAGCTATCATCAATAACGCGTGTGTCTACCTGTTGGAGTTGATAGCAGCCGGACATCTGCCCATGGAAGAGACGAGTATGCGAATCACATCCTGGAGAATGATAGCCCTCTCGACCTGCAACGCAAATGCCAACTGCTGCAACTTCTTGGATTGTGGTTGACATCGGCGTAGCCGTCTATCCGATTCATCCCACAGATGCTCTATCGGGTTCAAATCCGGGGATCTTAAGGGCCAGGGGAGAACATAAACGTTGTCGTGTAGACAGGCTCTTGTGATCCGTGCCGTGTGAGTTCGAGCGGTTAGCCGTAAGGTTGACATGGATATGTACCAAACCTGTCCTGGCACCTTAATGCTACCCCCACCAAACCTGTCCACTTCCTGTTCGCAGTTTCCGGGGTTTTCACGTAGGTGGCGCAGCCGGATGTAGCGATCTAGCGAGTTGGTTACTCTTGGTCGTCCCGACTTTGGCCGATCACGTGTAGACCCATGCTGTTGAAACCGATCCCGTATCGTTGTGATGCTGCTTGGCGCTACATTGAAAACCCTGCCTTCGGCTTATCGGGTCATAACGTTGTTTCTTTGCAATTCTGTTCATCTTGACATGTTGTTGAACTGTCACTGTTTGATTGACGCAGATGCCAGGCAAACAAAAACCTTGCATTTTAATATGGGTAATAATGTTGCTGCACGGGCAGTACGTGCAGCTCCACGGCCCTTTTGTTAATGTACTGGCTGCGTTTTTCCGAATCGTACGTGTTTCCTGACTTATGGTTTGCATGTCCTTCTTGTGACCATTTTGATCCGGGAAATTTCTATCTGTGTTTGAGTCCAATATTATAATCGTAAAAGTAGTACACGCTTATAACTGTTGAACCTCTTTAAAGAGTTAAACCACTTTCATAAACTCAAACATGCTTAATTTTGTTTGTTGAAAACATAATTTCACTTCATTATTCTCAACTGTAAACATTGTTTTACTAATGTATGTTTTTATATGTATTTGTAAATGTAGAAAAGGCCTTACGGGGAAAAGGTATGTGTTCTACGTGAAATGTAACGGATGCTGTCGTATTGCTGATGATCGGGGAGGGTGGGCTGCTGTCATGTTGCTGATGAACGGGTCGGCTGCTGGATGCTGCCATATTCCTGATAATCGGGGAGGCTGGTCCGCTATCATGTTACTGATGAACGGGTCGGATGGGCTGCTGTCATGTGTTCTACGTGAAATGTAACGGATGCTGTCGTATTTCTGATGATCGGGGATGCACGGCTGCTGTAATGTTGCTGATGAACGGGGAGGCTGGGCTGCTGTAATGTTGCTGATGAACGGGAAAGCTGGGCTGCTGTAATGTTGCTGATGAACGGGGAGGCTGGGCTGCTGTAATGTTGCTGATGAACGGGGAGGCTGGGCTGCTGTAATGTTGCTGATGAACGGGAAAGCTTGGCTGCTGTAATGTTGCTGATGAACGGGGAGGCTGGGCTGCTGTAATGTTGCTGATGAACAGGGAGGCTGGGCTGCTGTAATGTTGCTGATGAACAGGGAGGCTGGGCTGCTGTAATGTTGCTGATGAAGGGTGAGGCTGGGCTGCTGTAATGCTTCTGATGAACGGTGAGGCTGGGCTGCTGTAATGTTGCTGATGAACGGGGAGGCTGGGCTGCTGTAATGTTGCTGATGAACAGGGAGGCTGGGCTGCTGTAATGTTGCTGATGAACAGGGAGGCTGGGCTGCTGTAATGTTGCTGATGAACGGTGAGGCTGGGCTGCTGTAATGTTGCTGATGAACGGGGAGGCTGGGCTGCTGTAATGTTGCTGATGAACAGGGAGACTGGGCTGTTGTAATGTTGCTGATGAACGGGGAGACTGGGCTGCTGTAATGCTTCTGATGAACGGTGAGGCTGGGCTGCTGTAATGTTGCTGATGAACGGGGAGACTGGGCTGTTGTAATGTTGCTGATGAACGGGAAAGCTAGGCTGCTGTAATGTTGCTGATGAAGGGTGAGGCTGGGCTGCTGTTATGCTTCTGATGAACGGGAAACCTGGGCTGCTGTAATGTTGCTGATGAACGGGGAGGCTGGGCTGCTGTAATGTTGCTCATAAACAGGGAGGCTGGGCTGCTGTAATATTGCTCATGAACGGGGAGGCTGGGCTGCTGTATTGTTGTTCATGAACAGGGAGGCTGGGCTGCTGTAATGTTGCTGATGAACAGGGAGGATGGGCTGCTGTAATGTTGCTGATGAACAGGGAGGATGGGCTGCTGTAATGTTGCTGATGAACGGGGAGGCTGGGCTGCTGTAATGTTGCTCATGAACGGGGAGGCTGGGCTTCTGTAATGTTGCTCATGAAAAGGGAGGCTGGGCTGCCGTAATGTTGCTGATGAACAGGGAGGCTGGGCTGCTGTAATGTTGCTGATGAATGGGTGGGGTCGGATGCTGTCATGTTTCTGGTGACCGAGGAGGCTGGGCTTCAGCCATGTTGCTGATGAACGGGTCGGGATGGCTGCTGTCATTCTGCTGAAGATCGGGTCGGGTCATCTGCTGTCATGCTGCTGATAAACGGGTCAGGTCGGCTGCTGTCCTGCTGCTGACGAACGAGTCGGGTCGGATGCTGTCATGTTGCTGATGAACGGGTCGGGTTGGTTGCAGTCATGTTGCCGCTGACCGGTTAGGCTGGGTTGCTGTCGTTTTGCTGATGATCGAGTAGGTTGGGCTGCTGTCATGTTGCCGATGATCGAGTAGGCTCGGCTGTTGTCATGTTGCTGATGGTCGAGTAGGCTGGGCTGCTGTCGTTGTGCTGATGATCGAGTAGGTTGGGCTGCTGTCAAGTTTGTGATGATTGAATCGGCTGATGTCATGTTGCTGATAATCGAGTAGGTTGGGCTGCTGTCATGTTGCTGATGATCGGAAAGGCTGGATGTCTTAACGAGTATTTAAACCTCTACGTACATTTAGATGAGGCAATTAATACATTTTGCCTGAATTGGATGGTCTTCTTGAAATTTTCTATTGTAATTATTCTTCCTATTTCAGTCTACTTCCCTGAAGTTCTGTTCCTATTGATTATTCTGATTCCGTCCTAGTTTCGGCAAGGGTGGAAACTGGAATTTTACAGTCAATTAAGATGTTCGGTTTTAAGCCCTAATAAAACCGATGATTATAATAGGGTTGTCAGCTATTCTGATGTGGAGCCCTGCATCCTTATGACATATCTATAATTGTTTGTTTGGCTGGTTGGTTTATCACAAATACCCCATCTATGTAAGATACATCCCTTGATATTTTGTTAAAAGGCGCAGAATTTCAAAACTTCTTGCTTCACCGAGACGAACAGAAATCTTTTCTCATTGATTGTATTTTAGATCGTCCGCAGTTGGTTGAACCTGGTCCCCAAGCCAAGGGATACGTGAATAAAGAGGTAAACACGTGATTATCAGGAATCATAGGAATGGCATACTGCCAGCCGGTATATTGTATACTGGTATGCGAGGATTAAAGTCTCAAACACTAACACACACGCACACAGACAAATACACACACACGCGCGCGCGCACGCACACACACACACACACACACACACACACACACACACACACATACACACACACCACTACTAACATAATATGTATTAGTCGGTTTCGTATGTCTTAGGTTTTAAGGTATCTTATATTTAAGTTTGCATTGTAAAATAACACGTAATTGCGTTCAAAAATGCGAATATTTGATTCACATGTTTGATTTATTATAAAGGACAGAAACGGGGTACTTATCGAAATACGTTTGTGGTTTTTTTTAGGAAGAAGACAAAATTGGAGCCGAGCTAAAGCAACAGATGGCATTTTTGACCAAACAGCAGACGGAAACATTGGAAAAACTGAACGAGCTCCAACAAGCACAAATGGCAGGTATGTGTTAAACATCTAAAACCGTATTGGTAATTATTACGACCTGTACATAGACGGGTCTGCGCACTAATTAGTTGAATCCAAAAACGATCATAACAATAAGCCTCAAATCTGAAGATCCTAGGCTTGAGCACATATGTATAGAATGCTTAGGTTTCAATAGTAGGAAAAGAAAGGTATTAAATCCATGAAAGGATCTCTTGTTCTGAGTTCATGAGCTGAATGTAACATATTGTGAATATTGTTTGCCATAAATTGGCGTGGTCGTAAAGTTGGAATATATGAAGATACATAGTTTGTGACTGCTCTTCAGTAAACACAAGATTAAAGTGTTGACTTCTGGTTTCGCTTCAGACTCACGGGTGTCGATGTGGATGAAGTCTGATGCTCCTCAACAGTCGGAAAGCAGTGGATTCTGTGAGTAGAAACTGAAATGAACTTCCGCATTTTTACATGGATACTCCGCTCAGACAAAGTATACCGACTCCGAGCTGATCAATCCATTGTCTTAATCCTTCAATGCCGACCTTCCACTGTCCGGGCAGACCCTCTATCCACCACACCAATGTCCATGTTTTGGAAGACCTGTATGTCTGGAACATGTTGTTACCAGTTCTGGACTATTGCTGAGTAGGGCAACAACAAGAGCTTTGAAGACCTGCTTGTTTACGGACCAACTGAATCCTCGCCAATGTTCACGTTAAAGTAGTATCTGCTACTCTAAACACACCACAAACCACGCAACTTCCAGTACACCTATGCCCAAGGTTTAGAATAACATTAACTCTATTTACTTATGCAAATCCAATGTCTATCACGGGACATCATTCAATTCTCCCTAATAAGGGGACCCTCTATTAAGTGATACCATTCCCTTCTACCAAATGAGGGGACGCTCTTTTAAGTGATATCAGTCCAACCTCCCTGATGACGGGCCCTCTGTTACGTTGATATCTTGCCCATCTCGATGGTCTCTAATGAGGGACCTCTATTAGATTGATATCTTGCCAATCTCGATGGTCTCTAATGAGGGACCTCTGTTAGGTTGATATCTTGCCAATCTCGATGGTCTCCAATGAGAGACCTCTGTTAGGTGAATATCTTGCCGATCTCGATGGTCTCCACTGAGGGCCCTCTCTTAGGTCGATATCTTGCCCATCTCGATGGCCTCCAATGAGGAAGCTCTATTAGGTTGATATCTTGCCCATCTCGATAGACTCCAAAAAGGACCTCTGTTAGGTCGATATCTTGCCCATCTCGATGGTCTCTAATGAGGCGACCTCTATAAGCCGATATTTTGCCCACCTCGATCGTCTGTAATGAGTGAACTCTATTAAGTCGATTCCTTCCAAATTTCGACGGTCTCCAATGAGGTACCTCTGTTAGGTTGATATCTTGCCCATCGAGATGGTCTCAAATGAGGGACCTCTATTAGATCGATATCTTGCCCATCGAGATGGTCTCCAATGAGGGACCTCTATTAGATCGATATCTTGCCCATCGAGATAGTCTCTAATGAGGGACCTCTATTAGATCGATATCTTGCCCATCGAGATGGTCTCCAATGAGGGACCTCTATTAGATCGATATCTTGCCCATCGAGATAGTCTCTAATGAGGGACCTCTATTAGATCGATATCTTGCCCATCGAGATGGTCTCTAATGGGGGACCTCTATTAGATCGATATCTTGCCCATCGAGATAGTCTCTAATGAGGGACCTCTATTAGATCGATATCTTGCCCATCTCGATGGTCTCTAATGAGGGACCTCTATTAGATCGATATCTTGCCCATCTCGATGGTCTCCAATGAGGGACCTCTATTAGATCGATATCTTGCCCATCGAGATGGTCTCTAATGACCCGATGACAAGGAAATACATGTACGGGGTCTCTAATGGGGGACCTCTGTTAGGTGGATATCTTGCCGATCTCGATGGTCTCCACTGAGGGACCTCTATTAGGTTGATGTCTTGCCCATCTCGATAATCTCCAATGAGGGCACTCTCTTAGGTCGATATCTTGCCCATCTCGATGACCTCCAATGAGGAAGCTCTATTAGGTTGATATCTTGCCCATCTCGATAGACTCCAAAAAGGACCTCTGTTAGGTCGATACCTTGCCGATCTCGATGATCTCTAATGAGGGCACTCTCTTAGGTCGATATCTTGCCCATCTCGATGACCTCCAATGAGGAAGCTCTATTAGGTTGATATCTTGCCCATCTCGATAGACTCCAAAAAGGACCTCTGTTAGGTCGATACCTTGCCGATCTCGATGATCTCTAATGAGGGGCCTCTCTTAGGTCGATATCTTGCCCATCTCGATCGTCTCTAATGAGGCGACCTCTGTTAGGCCGATATCTTGCCCACCTCGATCGTCTGTAATGAGTGAACTCTATTAAGTCGATTCCTTCCCCATTTCGATGGTCTCTAATGAGGTACCTCTGTTAGGTTGATATCTTGCCCATCGAGATGGTCTCTAATTAGGGACCTCTATTAGGCCGATATCTTGCCCATCTCGATGGTCTCCAATGAGGGACCTCTATAAGATCGATATCTTGCCCATCTCGATGGTCTCAAATGAGGGACCTCTATTAGATCGATATCTTGCCCATCTCGATGGTCTCAAATGAGGGACCTCTATTAGATCGATATCTTGCCCATCGAGATGGTCTCTAATGGGGGACCTCTATTAGATCGATATCTTGCCCATCGAGATGGTCTCTAATGGGGGACCTCTATTAGATCGATATCTTGCCCTATTCGATGGTCTCAAATGAGGGACCTCTATTAGATCGAAATCTTGCCCATCTCGATGGTCTCCAATGAGGGACCTCTATTAGATCGATATCTTGCCCATCGAGATGGTCTCAAATGAGGGACCTCTATTAGATCGATATCTTGCCCATCGAGATGGTCTCTAATGGGGGACCTCTATTAGATCGATATCTTGCCCATCGAGATGGTCTCTAATGGGGGACCTCTATTAGATCGATATCTTGCCCTATTCGATGTTCTCTAATGAGGGACCTCTATTAGATCGATATCTTGCCCATTTCGATGGTCTCCAATCAGGGACCTCTATTAGGTTGATATCTTACCCATCTGGATGGTCTCTAATGAGGGATTTCTTTTTGGTTGATATCTTGCCCATCTCGATTGTCTCTGATGAGCCGATGACAAGGAAATACATGTACGGGGGAAATGACTAAATGTTTTCTGCATTATTTGAACTTAAAATGGTTGTCTTGATACTGTAGACGTTTCTTCGTTAACGTGGTTTGAGATGCCGTCCTTTTACTGTCTTGGCATCTTCTTTTCGTGGCACGGGTGGCTCAGTCGTCATTTGCTGTGTTGATATGCATCCCTTTGCGTTCCCAAGAAACCTGAGTTAAAATCCCGGTTCGATTATGATTCTAGGCTTGTCAGCACCAGTCCCGTGCCTTGTCACTTTGAGCTTTCCTCCCTAATTAAGCCGACACCTAACAATTAACAGCTAAAACAATAATTATCTGCAATCTTTCTTCGTGTAATTGAATTTAGTCCATGGAGAATCATAAATATGCGGGCGAGGTGCTTTCCACCACAAGTGATCACCTGTACAGATTGGTCGTGGATGTGACATGCATTGTCATCTTTGACCGTCGAAAGCAAATACCTCAATGACACTAAGTTGTGCAAACATTGTATGCAATCTAACGATTTTCCTGCTTGTCTAAAAGGTCTAACCAGATCTTCGGATTGTATCCATCTCTAACAGAGTTGCCACAGCATTTCCCGAACTACAGAGCGAGAAACGTGGCAGAATTGTAGGATGAGGACTTTCAGTGGAGAATTTCAGTGTTTCTTTCGGTGTACGTTGGTATCTGTCCCTTGTGACATTAAGTGTTTCCAGTGTGATGCGACGGTCCAATGCCTGTAGGGAATAAGCAAATACGCCTCTGTGCGTGCGTGCATGTGTGTGGTCGGGGATACCAGTATCCGATACTAGTTTGTCAGTTAACCCAAATAGACCCATGCTTGGTAAAAGATACAGCTACGAAATGTGAAGTTTACGTTACTTTTTCTTCGTTAATAGTAATATAAGAAATATAGAAATTTAGTGACAACACAAATACTTAATCTTCAGTACTTATCTTTTTCAGTTACAGCAACAGAAACAATGACAGTTGTAAGTGAGGACCAGTTTCAGGCTACCGAAGGTAATATTATTGAGATTACTGAATATAGAATATTGGTTTAATTCCCCCTGAACCAGACAATCCATGACCAATAATTTACATCATAGATTCCACGTTATTGGGTTACAACGACATGCATCAACCATGACCTCTCGATGAAGTCGCATCTTACGACAGGCATATGTTGATGGGGGTTTGTATTCTCAAGAGGTAGCCGCACTGGTTGAATATATATGATGTAACTGGAATACTAAACATTGCGGCGTTAAACCCAACGCACTCACTCACATATCACCTGTTTTAATTTGTTAATTTTAAAATAAAGCTGTAGTTGATATTCAAGAATACTGTCAATCTTATCAAACCTAATCAGTTCTATTTTGAAAACTTACGTATGCATTTCAATGTCTGTATTCTTACTCGTGTTCCTGGTGAAGTGCATGTTAGTTTCAGTGAGTGCTTGTGTTACTTTAATTATATGTCTGACGTCTTTCAATTACAGATCTGTCAGAAGATGAAGGAGGATATGAAGACGAAAACGGCGTCAGTAAACCGCGGGTAAATCTATGTGTTATGTTTGACAATCCTTCAGTGACACTACCACGATAGACATGTTTACAGTTGTATCATCAATTAGGCACACCATAGTTAGACCAGGCCTCATGTCCATAAAGTTTGCAATTCTGTTAGGGAGAGATGTCGGAAATGTTAAACTTACACGACAGACAGACATGCGCTTGACGCAAAGACGTGACCTCGACTGTTTGACCCGCGAATTAATGGTCAAACTGAGTAAAAGAAATAATGCTCAATGTCGCCAGTTACCACATACTACTCCTGTAGTTCGTCACTTTACATAAAATACATGGAATCCTTTATGTAAAGACAATTTCAGAATGAACTGATTTCAGCCGGACCAAACATAATGTCACATAATATCCGTATTACCCATCACATACCGATGGAACTTAGCTTTCTTTTTGCTGAGTAATACCACCTCATATAAAGAGCACCTTGTATATCATACAAGTCACCCATGTCAAAACTCATTTCTCTTTTCAGCAAAAGTCTGAATCAGTTATTCGTCCGACAAGACAACTGGCAGACCTGAAGCAAGAACTGAAGGCAACCACTGACAGGATGCGCCTACTTGAAACCAAGAAAGGTAACCTTGGTGATGTTTGTATTGTGTGTTGACGGTTGTATGCCCCAAATTCCCGGCAAAGGACCTGCCAATCTATTTAAGATCTCTGAGACTTTTATCTGACTCACTACATTTCCAAGTGCAACAAACCCTTCTCAGGTCACGTGAGGTGAACCTTCTAATCAGACAGACAGCACGGGTCAGCTGCTGTCATGTTGCTGATGATTGGGTCGGATGCTGTCATATTGCTGATGATTGGGTCGGATGCTGTCATGTTGCTGATGATCGGGTAGGCTGTTGTTATGTTGCTGATGATTGGGTCAGCTGCTGTCATGTTGCTGATGATCATGTAGCCTGCTGTCATGTTGCTGATGATTGGGTCAGCTGCTGTCATGTTGCTGATGATCATGTAGCCTGCTGTCATGTTGCTGATGATTGGGTAGGCTGCTGTCATGTTGCTGATGATCATGTAGCCTGCTGTCATGTTGCTGATGATTGGGTAGGCTGCTGTCATGTTGCTGATGATAAAGGAGACTGCTGTTATGTTGCTGATGATTGGGTAGGCTGCTGTCATGTTGCTGATGATTGGGTAGGCTGCTGTCATGTTGCTGATGATTGGGTAGACTGCTGTCATGTTGCTGATGATTGGGTAGGCTGCTGTCATGTTGCTGATGATCGGGTAGACTGCTGTCATGTTGCTGATGATTGGGTAGGCTGCTGTCATGTTGCTGATGATCGGGTAGACTGCTGTCATGTTGCTGATGATCGGGTAGGCTGCTGTCATGTTGCTGATGATCGGGTAGGCTGCTCTCATGTTGCTGATGATCGGGTCAGCTGCTGTCATGTTGCTGATGATCAGTTAGGCTGCTGTCATGTTGTGAATGATCGGGTCAGTTGCTGTCACGTTGCTGGTGACCAGGTCGGCTGCTGTCATGTTGCTGATGATCAGGTCAGCTGCTGTCATGTTCCTGATGATTGGGTCAGCTGCTGTCATGTTGCTGATGATTGGGTAGACTGCTGTCATGTTGCTGATGACCAGGTCGGCTGCTGTCATGTTGCTGATGATCGGGTCAGCTGCTGTCATGTTGCTGATGATCGGGTCAGCTGCTGTCATGTTCCTGATGATTGGGTCAGCTGCTGTCATGTTGCTGATGAACGGGTAGACTGCTGTCATGTTGCTGATGATCGGGTAGGCTGCTCTCATGTTGCTGATGATCGGGTCAGCTGCTGTCTTGTTGCTGATGATCGGGTCAGCTGCTGTCATGTTGCTGATGAACGGGTAGACTGCTGTCATGTTGCTGATGATCGGGTAGGCTGCTCTCATGTTGCTGATGATCGGGTCAGCTGCTGTCATGCTGCTGATGATCAGTTAGGCGGCTGTCATGTTGCTGATGATCGGGTCAGCTGCTGTCATGTTCCTGATGATCGGGTAGACTGCTGTAATGTTGTTGATGATTGGGTAGACTGCTGTCTTGTTGCTGATGATCAGGTAGACTGCTGTCATGCCGATGATGATCGGGTAGGTTGCTGTCATGTTGCTGATGATTGGGTCAGCCGCTGTTATGTTGCTGATGATCGGGTAGACCGCTGTCATGCTGCTGATGATCAGTTAGGCTGCTGTCATGTTGCTGATGATCGGGTCGGCTGCTGTCATGTTGCGGATGATCGGGTCAGTTGCTGTCACGTTTCTGATGACCAGGTCGGCTGCTGTCACGTTGCTGATGATCGGGTCGGCTGCTGTCATGTTCCTGATGATTGGGTCAGTTGCTGTCACGTTGCTGATGATTGAGTCAGTTGCTGTCACGTTGCTGATGACCAGGTCGGCTGCTGTCATGTTCCTGATGATTGAGTCAGCTGCTGTCACGTTGCTGATGATTGAGTCAGCTGCTGTCATGTTGCTGATGATCGGGTCGGCTGCTGTCATGTTGCTGATGATTGAGTCAGCTGCTGTCATGCTGCTGGTGATCAGGTCGGCGGCTGTTATGTTGCTGATGATCGGCTGGGCTGCTGTCATGTTGCTGATGATTGCGTCAGCTGCTGTCATGTTTGATGATTGAGTCAGCTGATGTCACGTTGCTGATGACCGGGTCGGCTGCTGTAATGTTGCTGATGATCGGATAGACTGCTGTCATGCTGCTAATGAGTAGGTAGACTGCTGTCATGCTGCTGATGATTGGGTCAGCTGCTGCCATGCTGCTGATGATCTGGTCGGCTGCTGTCATGTTGCTGATGATCGGGTCGGCTGCTGTCATGTTGCTGATGATCGGGTCGGCTGCTGTCATGTTGCTGATGATCTGGTCGGCTGCTGTTATGTTGCTGATGATCGGGTCGGCTGCTGTCATATCATACCGTACTTTATGTTTTGGTCGAACGATGTAGTAAGCTTGAGTCTACACTCAAAATTTCACAATAGCCAGTTTGGTGTGTGGTGCTTTGCCTAAACTTGGATAGGAAAATGTTTGCGTTCTCATATAAACTCTTACAATGTTGCAGGATTTATTACCTCCTTGTTAGGGGCATCTTTACAGTCCTATAACTACACAGCCGTTACCGTGAATGGTTTCCGTATTTGTCAAATTCACGCAGGACTTAATTTGTCACGATTCGAAACCAAACACCCTCGTTAAGACCAGGAAGAAAATTGGCCTTCAGCAAGCCACGCTTGTTGTAACAGGCGACTAGTAACGGGGTCGGTGGTCATGATCGGTGACTCGGTTGATGCATGTCATTGTATTTCATTTGCGTCGATACATGTGTCAATCACTGGATCACCTGGTCCATATTAGAATATTCATGACCTGCCGTCATATTGCTGAATTATTGCTGATTGCGGCGTAAAACAACAAACAAGCGAACAAAACCAAAAATGAAACCAGGATAATTTGTCTAGTGTTTGATTTTAGGACCACCATTTTACACCGTCGGGGTGCGCTCTCAACCACGTGACCTGTTCACAAAGCTGTCTCAGCGCTAAAATTACGACCAAAATTGAGACAGGTCAGGACCTTTTGCATGACAAACAGTCGATGTAAAACCCTGGGTGTCAATATCTATAGTTGTGTGGGAACAGTTTGGTTACACCTGAACAAAGAAATAATGGATTGTATTGCGTGATCCCTATAAATATCAAGTGACGTCATTCTATTATCATTAGAGGTTTTTGTTTTCTCAGGATAACCTAGTTCCCTGGCTACCGAAGTAGATTGTACAGAATACGCCAGGTACTTTCTATCATTCGTCCCTCAATCCAGGAACATTATACAGAAGGCCGCTCTCTCAACGTGGTATTCTATGGAGAGTCTCTCTGTCCAAGAGATGTAGTTTGCGTTTTAATCCAAACCATATAACACACATTACAATTGTGCGGTCACAGTCACAGGGATTGGACCTGTATTTTGCATTGTAATCCAATCCATATAACACACATTACAACTGTGCGGTCACAGTCACAGGGATCGAACCTGTAACCTTCGCATCTGTAACCAAGGGAGTGAACCACGCGGCGACAGAGTCGCTGATAATCCACAGAATCTCTTCCTCAAGTATGCCAGCAAGATATAGTTTGCGGCCGTTTCCTATGGTTCATGGAAAGTTTGTGATACATATAATTGTTGACAAATGTTCTGGCACATTTTTGTTTCGACATTTAAGACAGCAAAAGCACTGTCCCTCGTCATTGGTTAGAAATGTAAACTCGGGGTCGGTGATGAAAGGGTGTTCAGTTGTCGACATGCTGCTTTTGTTCTGGGTTTTTTCACTCGCTGTCCTTGAATTTGTTTTTTTACCGCTACGTTATTGTTTCCCTGTCAGGTATCCCGACTTTTTTCTCTTCTCGTATTCCTTGTATTTAGACGGCTGATATGACAGTTAAAACACTCCCTATCGGTTTTGGTTGAAAATGAAAAATCCGAGGCTCGGGCTTTTTCCTCTCTAGTTTATATATTCAACTATAAATGATAAGCATGGCGGAGTTATACCCCTTTTTCTGTGTGCATGTGTGTTGACCTCTTCGCCGTGATTTGACGCCATAGCGGAAAATATCTTACTACGTATACTACATTCAACAGGTCAGTTTTGGTATTGAATGTGTCACGTTCTACGTAACCACACAGTTCTAATGTACGTGTTGTAATGTTGTTCAGATATAAGGCAGTATATTGTTCGCTCTCAGTGTGCATAAAGCAGTCCAATCAAACCTGTCGTTGCACGGTACTTTATCTATGTACGATAAAAATGACTACAGTTTTCTTCGTTTGCAAAACAGAAAAAAATTTACTGGTCATTTAGCACTTTCTGATTTTCAAACCAGTCTTCAATTTTACACCAAGGGGTACGCAATCCAACACTACACAACTCTGTTTAATAGCAAAGTCAGAGGGTCACCCAGAGCCGCGCGATCGCAATTCTCGTACACTGCTTATTCATCAGTAATGATGAAATGTGTGTCTGAAATTAACTAGGCAACCAGAGTTCAAGCGGTAATGTAGTGAATCACGCTTCCCAGTCTTAAGTCAGATATCTCGCGAAATGCAAGCTTATGCAACTCGCCCCATGTGAATGCCGAATAGTATACAACTTCAGTTCGTGCAACTAATCGCATACTCCCAGGTGTACCACCTAGTTGTGCCGTGTGAATGTCCCTTTAGGGGTTTACGACAGGTATGATGGCAGACAACTGACGGCATGTTGAAGAAAACGATTCGGCAGTATGAGTCTAATGTATTGGTTCTGGCAACGAACCTGAGTGGTTTCAATGTGCACTTTCACAACAACAGAAAAACTAAAACACTAAAAACACATCGCATCTACCGATTATGACATTTGTCTTACAACGAGTCGATAACAGATGATAGCACAGTTATCTGTAGAACCAAACAAAACGGTTTAAGCACCTTATTATATCTGTTCAGACTGTAGCAAAATGTTTAAAACTCACGTCTACTGCACTGCCTGCAATATTTTCATTCCTTCATTACGGTACAGAAATATATTTTAACCTCACTTATTTCAAAGGGTTAATG